AATGAAATATGTAATGGGCTACGTCCAGAATTTGCTAAAGGCACTCCTGAGTTCTATATCCAATTAGCAAATCAATGCATGGATGCTAATCCTTTTAATAGACCAACTGCATCTCACATCTGGAAAGAATTATCAAGATGGTATAATATATTAAGATGGTGTAATATATGTCATAATGCTACAAATGATGATGAGTCAGCAATATTAAAGGCATTCCAGTCTGCAGATGAATTTATTCCAATACTATCAACGAAATCGCAAATTTATTCTAAAGATAAACTTTCAAGTAAACTGCTTAATTTTTGTAAAGGTAAATTATTACGCTTATTACATCTGGTTTTTAATCAGTTGATAATCATAGAAATTTTAATTATTTTTTAATTTTTGCAGGTTCTAAAGAATATGCTATTTCAATTCCTGACATCTAGTATAATGTTATTTCACATATGTAGAGCATTATGAAATTTTTTTATTTAAATACTTTAAAGCATTATAAACAATAAATGGAATTTATTTAAATTACTTATCGCCCAGTTACATGGTAAATATATTTCAAAATATTTAAATTTTATTAAAGTTATAGGAAGGTAGAGATATAGCTAGTAATTTCAATTTCAATTAAATTTATTATAGCTAATGATTTCAATTAAATTTATAGTTGCAATAGCTTTATCAAACAAATAAGATTTGTTTAAAATTTATATAGTTTGTTTGTTTTTTTTGCTTTTTTAATATTAAAATAAAATTATAAATTATAATATATATATAAAAAATTTTTCGAATGTTTATGATACCAAGAAAGTAATTGAGAAGCTTTTCAAAGAAGTAATAAGTGATCATTATTATGAGATCAGATGACTTTATGGCTCATAAGTTAAGGTAATTCAGCAATCAACAAGGTAATTTGTACCTTTGCTAATAAGTGTTAAAGGTTTTTTTTAAAAAAAAACTTGAAAATAGCTATACAAATAGCAATATTTACAGTTAGTTTTTTCAATATTTTTTCTTAATATAGGTTATTCGACAGAGTTTTTAAATCTACAATATATTAGATATAGAGTATATGTAGGATGCGTACGATTACACGTTGTCCTATAGATAGTTTTTTGGTTTTTATACTGTTCATACTCTCTAAGTGCGTGTATTAGCTTTATTGATAGTTGATGGATCTTTTTGATTTACTTATACTATTCATTCTTTATCTCGTTATTAAACTATACGTACATGTCGTCAGGGATGGCACATCACAATGTCCAATTGGTTTCAATTTTTTTTGGACATAAGCTTATGTCCAATTTCAATTGACATATGTCCAAACAAGAAAAAATCGAAACTAATTGGACATTGTGACGTGTCATGTAGTGATAGAAATTACCATTTACTTGATCTAAAACTATGTCCCTGAAATTAGATCGTGCACACACCAATTAATGTTACGGCTGATGCTGATTTTGGCTGATGCTGATTTTTTGGGGGGTCTCAATTTGGATCCATTACGCC